TTGCTAAATAAAATGTTATATTAACACTTTTAATAAAAAGAAATCAATAAAAGTGATCGCTTACCGTTACTCTTGAAGAATTAATTCCAAAAATAGCCGTCGGTAGCGTAGACTTTTTAAAAAAAGAATTTTTCGTCTTTCGAACGGCGTTTTCCTATCTCTTTCCTTATTAAATTTCAGAACGACACTTGCCAGCGCTCGCCGGAAGTGAGAATTCCGTGTGACACAAAACAATCAGCAATTTCACAGGAGATTCACATCTGTACTTACCTCATCTGTGGCGAAGTAGTTGTAGTTCGCTACTGTAGCGAACTACAATTTTCAAGTAGCCAGTAGTTTTTGACTACTTTATTAAAACAGTAGCTGTAATTATAGCGAACTACATTTTGCCTAAAAGTAGCCAAGTAGTTGACTACTTTTCAAACAGCAAATCGCTATTCGCTACTTTTTAAAATTGTTAGCAACTTGATAGAATAGCATGATATTGAGACACGTACGGTTTGCTTAAAATCAATACTCAATAGTCAATTTGCGCTCTTGAACACTGTAGTGCTTACAAACATGTTGCTTTATGTTTACTGTTGCTACTCGTAAGTCGATTTGTTATAGGTTACATTTCAGCCTGAGTTAGTAGATGCTCCAAATACAGTAAAACTTAAAAATATAGCGTAGCGAAATAGCGAAATAGTTCGCTACATTTTTTAAGCAGTAGCTGTAGTCAGTAGCGAACTACCTTTGTTCAAAAGTAGCAGTAGTTGTAGCTGACTACATATTTTTGAAGTAGCTGTAGTTATAGCGAACTACAAAAATTTTGTAGTCAACCCACCCTTGAAATTATTATATTTCTACTTTCGGTTAAATTGTGATCAGATTGAGGCTTATTTTACGCTTTATTTTCAAAACATATTACAGTCGATTTCACGAAACTTTGACCACAAATTTTCCGAACTTCGTTGCGAAGTTCACAAGATTGTTGCGAAGTTCAAAAGTTCATAATGAGATTCAGGCTGGGATTACACTATACCGGATTGATTTTCATACCGGCTCAATTTTCACACCGAAGCCAAAATCAAGGGTGTTTACACTATGCCGCTTCGCTCTGTCGCCAGCTCGTATCTTTTATCGTTGCCACGGAAACAAATAATAAGTTTTGACCATTTTGGACGTTTTCTCGACAGTATACTTGTGAATTATAACTTTGTTTACAAAGCTTGACCACCCGACGTTGCTTTGTCTCGCTCTTATCGAAAATTGACGAGTATTTCATTAAATTTTGCCCTTTTGAAAGCAAGAAGTCAATGTTATTACCGCTATCTTTATTTGTCTTCGCTAGAAATAATAAATAATTGTAAAGCGAAGCAAACAACAGCTATAAAATATTTAAAAGCGAGTAAATAAAACGACAATGTTAAAATATACTTGCCGAAACCTATTTATAGTACCGGAGCGTACCGGATTGCCTGATTACACTTGATTTTATCCGGTACAGCACGTACCACCGGATTACAGTGGCGTAGTGTAAACAAGAGGCCAATCCGGTACAGAAATCGCGTCGCTTCGATGCAATCCGGTATAGTGTAATCGGGGCCTCACAAACCAGTTCGTAAACTACGCATTTGTGATTGGCTTCTTTTACTTCACGGACCAATCAGGGACTTTGTTTACAAATTGGCTTGTGAATTCCAATATGAGCTTCCAAACTTCACAACGAACTTGCGAACTTCGCAACGAAGTTCGGAACATTTGTGGTCAAAGTTTCGTGAAATCGACTGTAAATATTACCAATTTTGGCGATATTCTGAATTTTCCTTCAAATTTCCTTTGTTCTTCTAGAATTTCCTTCACATTTCCCTTAAAATTTATTTCCTTCAAATTTCCTTCATTTTGCAAACATTTCCTTTCAAAAGGAAATCCTGTGCAATATTTCTGGTAATGTACCTGTCGCTACAGTAACCAAGACACCCGCAACAGTTTCGTTTTTACGGAAAATCATTTCTAATTTCTCTCTCTTGTATGCCAGGTGAGAAGAGTTAAATTCTAGGAACTGGCTTATTGGCAAATTGATCATTGCGGTGGGAGATGTAAAACCTAAAAGGTTGAAAGATTCTCTTAGAAATCTTACAAAATAATACATATTATATAACATTAACAAGCTTTCGTTGGTAGAGATGCAATTACTTGAAAAATATAAGCAGAATTTCGACGTTTCGAGCGAAGGCCCAGACGAAGGTCAGGGCCGTAGCAACGGGACTGGGGCTGCGCCACCCCAATAATTTTCTAATAATCATTCTTTTTTTCAAAATCATGCAGACTTTACCATTTAAATAATATACCTTTAAAATACTGACAATTGATCAATTTTAAGCGCCGGCTACATTATCCATGAAAAAGTGCAAAGAATGAAGATATTACCCAGTTCCAGCAACTTATCCAATATATAGTTAATCAAATACGGCCTACGCCCATTTAGTAAATTTCGACATACTAAAACGCTGTTTTTTGACCATCAGAATTTTGTCAAATCTTCCACAAAGTCCAGGAAATGGCATTTCAGAGACTCTAAATTCAAAAATTTCCTTGGGTCTTCGACCCTCGCTTTGACCCCAAATAAAAAAATCAAGGTCCCTCGCTCGAAACGTCGAAATTCTCCTTATATTTTTCAGGTAGTTGCATCCCTACCAACGAGAGCTTGTTGATATATTATTGACACTACTCACACTATATAACACCTTACTTACTTAATTGGCTGATTATGATCACGTGATATTGAATAAGAGCTTTCATGATCTTGTGCTATACGTTTCGTTCAATAGAGCGTTTGCACACACTCCCCAGGGACCAACTCAACAAAAGCCGGCAAGGCCCGGCATGGCGGCCATGTTGGTGTTCCAGACAAAAGAGTCTAATTAAAATTCTTTTGAATTGGAACACCAACATGGCGGCTGTGACGTCATGTGCAAACGCTCTATAGACCTTTCTTATGGCGTCAAACGCAGAATGTGACGTCCCACATTACAATGCAACTCGTTGGCGAGTCAATAAATTTCATAAAAACATCATTTGCATTGCGAATGGTCGCTAAAAATTGTCCCTTGGGGCATCGCATTAAGGGTTTTTCCGCGCTTGACGTCATTATAAGAAAGGTCTATTGCACAGTTTGGTTTTCGTTAAATTCAATCCGTCAAAATCCTAATCGTGTAGTCATCGTAGCTCATTTAAACCTCACTTTCATGAAGAGGCCAATAGAATTCAATTGAAATCCATAATTCACGCAAAGCAAAAACACTGATCTGAAAACTAGGACTGGGTATTGCAACCACTATGCATACATGAAGCCAATGGTGACCACACCAAACCTACTGTGGTGTTAGTGACATGTTGGAAGAGGTTCTTACAGTTTCTGATTAATGGTGGTTAGTAGAGATTTATCAGTAGTGGCCTCTTTTCCCTCTTAAATTTGCCCGTGAATACCTAATGGTCTCACCACAATGGCTGCACAAGTCTCATTATCTACTGTTCAAAACGTTCTAAAACTCATTAGAAGAGGTGTGACAAGCAACATTTGTTTGATATTGTAGCTATTTTAAGCACGTCGAGATCTGATATGCAGAGATTTTTCTGGACTTTACTAAATAAATCTCATCTCGTTTTAAATATATATTCAGGCTTCAAAAATGACTGATTGTGTTCAAAAGTATATTCTATCCAATCCAATCCAAGTTTTCCGATCAGTGGTGTAAAGATATATATTTTTACGATAATGTTCAGGAAAATGAATGTCAATATTTTATACAGCACTGAGTACCTCTTCGTTAAAACCATTTTGCGACTTGTTTGTTGGATATTTTAGAATTTTTGGATTTGAACATTGCGGTGCCCAAAATATTTTATTTTAAACGTTTAAAGCGCAGTTTACTTTTAATCCTAACGTATGGACCAACTGGAGGCCGACAGGAGGATGTAGCGTACTAAATACAACTTTACTTGTAGATGTAGGCGGAAACGGCGGAAGTTTTATTTGTAGGGCATCGAATTTTAGTACTGTGTCTGGTTTGTATAATATTTTACTACCTTAGTAAATGCAAGATTAGTAAATACTTAGTTATACTCTAGGGGAACGTTTTGTGCACATTGATTAATTAGGTGTTAAGTTTAAAACATATCTTACCATCATCTACCATCACACTTCTGTCACAAAACATTAAAAATACCGTCAAGAACCACAGCAACCAAAGAATGTTGCGGAAAAAGGATAATAATATTGTTCTAACAACACCTATTTTATCCTTTGCCACCTTTAATTCTTCTTTTATCTCATTAATTTCTTCTTTTGTCTCCTTTACCGCTCCTTCTGCCACCTCTAATTTTCCTTTTGTCTCCTTTATTTCTTCTTTTGTCCCCTTTGTTTCTTCTTCTGCCACCTTTACTTCTTTTGTCTCATTAATTTCTTCTTTCGTCTCCCTTACCTCTCCTTCTGCCACCTCTATTTTTCCTTTTGTCTCCTTTAGTTCTTCTTTTGTCTCCTTTATTTCTTCTTCTCCCACCTCTAATTCTTCTTTTGTCTCATTAATTTCTTCTTTTGTCTCCTTTACCTCTCCTTCTGCCACCTTTATTTCATCTTTTGTCTCCTTTATCTTTATTTCTTCTCTTGCCTCTTTAAGTTGTTGATTCCAAGAAATCTTTAAATCTTTCTCTTCTTTTTCTATTTCTTTAATACTTTGACGACAGTCTTGAACTTCTTTGATGCTTTCTAGCTGACGGTCAGTCATTAAGTTATCAATGTCTGTAAAAGCATCTTTCTTCTCCTTGTCGGTAAAAGTTTGTGAACGCGTACGGATCCACGTATATTTCCAATATTTAACAGCTTCCAATCTGGATTGTCGAATTTTGAAATGATTACAAAACATTAGCAAGCTAAGAAGAGATCCAAAATCAGTAGTGGCAGGATCCGTAGTTGTGGCCCAATTTCCCCCCAAATCAGACATGAACAACTTTGCAATCTCCCAGTATCCATGGACTGGATCATCCCATCGGCTACCCACGCTTTGATGCCACGAAATTTCTTCTTTTTGTGGGAAAACATGATGATTTTTCAATTCTCGAGCCCAAATGCAACGTGTTCTTGGTCGTCCATGAGGGTGGGCTGGTCCACGAGGTTTTGGTTTTTTCCCATAGGTACACGTACAGTAGCACTTGACTCCACCGACATTTGTTGTTATCAAAGCATGAAGTTTTTTCATTTCACGCTCAGCATATTTCCGTAGGCCAAGGCAGAGGGGCACGAGCGCTTGACCAACAGCCAACCAGTTACGATGACCAATTTTCATTTGCAACAAATGTTGTTCAATTAAGTCTACACAACATAATATATATTTTCCAATTAGAAGTACACAGTATGGTTAAATGCCGAAATGTTTTTGTATATGGAAATTTCGAGACAGTGTGAATTTAGTTCTGTCGAGTGAGATCACAGGCGGCCCAATCTTGCAAGGGACTGTCAGTATAGTAATGTATATTGCAGTAAAAATGTCATAAAACATATCTTTTAAAATCAAATTTGTTTGCTAATTTGATAGTGTGTGTTCTCCTTTTGTTCCTCTTTCGTTGAATTAATATTTTCCGAAACTTTGCACTCGATGGTTGCGGTATAGTGGTAGCGGCCGCAACCATCGAGTGCAAAGTTTCGGAAAAGATTAATAGGTAAAAGTACCAGACAATTTGCGCGAACGCGCGAACTAAACCTAATCAGGAGAAATTGCGAAAAATGCAATTATTTCTGGCATGAATCGAACCTGCATGCGGTCCTGCGATTCCAATGAATTGCTCTAACCAAAGTTCGACAACTGGACTCTGTAGCTCAGTTGGTTAGAGCGCTCCACCGGACCACCGGAATAGCAGGACCACAGTTTCGAGTGAGATTCCCCAAATCCTGATATCATCCAAAACACTCTTTTTCAATCTTAGGAGATGACTTCTGATGTATATGATTCATGTTTTTTAGATCGTACTAACTGTAGGGAGCCACCTTAACCAATTTGTTGTACAAAGCGATTGCATTTTTCTATACCCAGACTTGCAAGGGCATAGCAAAACTGTATAAAAATATGAAATACCTGCTTCAGGCTTGACTGTTGTTTCAGACTTTGAAGGGTGGCTTTCATCGTCGAATTCTGGACTTTGACTACTTGTATTTGTATTATTCGATGCGACTGGAGCAGACCACGGTTCGTCGTCTGAAACAAATATTAAATGTGAAAATGTAGATCTTAATCAGAATTTGAACTTTACGGACGATTATTGGCTTGTTATACCCTAGATGTGGAACCTTTCATCTGGGTGCAAATACCGCTGCCATTATTAACGATGAAAAACGCCAAGCACTTATAGTTATAGTTTAGCAATTACCTTGCGTTTCTTTATTGCGAGGCCAATCTTCTAGCACAACAGAATATTTGAACATATTGTATACAACAGACGCTGCCATTGTACTAGCAAATATCTGCCAAGGTTCTGTCATGTCTTCACGTCCTGCAAAACTCGATACTCCTTTTATAACAGCCCATTCCGTCTCAAGATCATTCGCTGCTGCATATATACCTAAAATTTAATTAAGCACAAAATGAAACAGCATTTCTCATTGTATTCGGATGAATTAGGAAATCCATCTTTCAGAGAACTGCAGGGAGGCTGTAATATTTGTATAATGTAGTTTATAATTCAAAGTAAGACTTGCTTGTCTGATGCAGGTTATATTAATTAATACTGATACTCATAAACACATAATTCACATGACGTCACATTATTACATCCCTCCCTTGTTGTAAATAGGAGTTCGTCAGTCACTGAATGATATAGTACAAAATAGAATTGAATAATCAGAACTATGTAGTGCCCATATGTCGTGAAGTTTACGAAATGTTAATGTTCATATTCAATGTTCAGACGTTCTGGAAGTCGCTTGTTCTCTCTAGCAGGATATTTTCTTTCGGTCGGAGGTTCTGGTATTGGATCATTCATCGCCGTCATCCTCAAATTCTGAGTCTTGAATGGACTTGTTTGAACTTGAGTTATGGTACTGATGTTGTGTGTTGTACAGCGATATAATTTGTTTAGGCGTTTCTGACGAACTAGGACCGTGTCACCAACTTGAAGCGTGTGAGGTTTCGCTTTTGACGCTGTATCTGCATCTTCTCCTTTTTAGTGAAATCCGTGAGTGCAAATAAGGAACGTGAGGGTGAGGGTTGGACAAGTTTGGATAACTGCACGGTAAGATTCCATCCAAAGAGGAACTCGGCGGGAGAAATTCCGGTGGTAGAATGGGGTGTGGCACCACTGGCACGGTATGTGCGAAAGAAACGAAACAATGCTCGTTTCCAATTTTTATCTTCAAGATGGGCAGCACGTAGGGTTTTTTGAAGGGTGCGCATGAAACGTTTAGATTCGGAATTGGCTTTCGGCCACACAACCACCCATATGTTGCGCAAACGGAGCAAAAACATGACTTTGAAACGGAGGACCGTTGTCAGATTTGATTTCAGCTGGAATACCATGGGTAGCTAAAATGCGATTAAGTTTCGGAATGACTGTATTCGCGGAGGTGGAGCGTAAAATTTCAACCTCAGGATATCGGGAGTATTCATCGATTATCACCAAGAGCATATCACCTGATGGAAGAGGGCCACATAAATCAACTGAAAGATTTTGCCATGGGTCTAGTGGTAAGTCGGTCATGTGTAATGGTTCGGGAGGCTGTTGGATCACATTCGTTTGACAAGCGAGACAGTTGTCAAGTAACGTTTTCGTCATTCCGTCGATGCCAGGAAACAAAAATCTTTTCTCGGAGTTGTTTGGTTTAGTGAGACCCCGACGACCTTCATGGGCGAGATTGAGGTCACGTTGGCAAAGGGCGTGAGCAAGGATAAGACGATGGAAACGAAGGACTAGATCACGGTCATCAGACAGTCAGTTCATCGCGAATTTGAAGGCTTTGAGATCTTGGCAGTTGATAAGCGGACCTGGAGTGGTAAGAACGGAGTGCCAGAAATTGTTGCGAAGTGCATCGATGACGAATTGCAAAGTGGGTCAGCACGGGTAGACTGTTTAACTTCAACGACGGTCATAGCTTTGGCACGGTAGTATAATTAGCAAGGAACGAAATGTACTCTTCGGCTTGCGTGGATGCGGTAGAATGATAGTGAGAGGATGACGGGACAGGTAATCAGCTAGGTTGGTTTTGTCAGATTGGTGGCTTGCTTGTGGGGTTGAAATACGCAAGAGCAGTGTCACTAGTCAGAAGGTGTTTGAACTGATAAAAGGCTTGTTGATGTTTGTAATGCTTCTATGTGCTTATATAAGATTTCTTTACAAAGTTGCAAAGTTGTTACCTCATTCCCTCCATTGATAAGCCTACTCGGGTTTATAATAATTCTGCAACATTGATAGATAATATTTTCATAAATATGCCGGAACGAGTAACAATTAGTGGGAATATAATTTCTGATATAACTGATCATTTCTCTCAATTCTGTATTTTTAAATCAACTAAGGATAAAATAGAAATACCAATAAACCAACAACGACGTGATTTTTCACAATTTTCTGCTGTTAATTTTAACAATGAATTGTCTCTCACAGATTGGGATGAAATATTCCTAAAAGGGGATAGGGATATTGATAAAACATTTTGCTTTATTTATAAAAGAATTAATGCGATACTGAATAAACACGCTCCAATCAAACTGATATCGCGTCGTCAAGCTAAACGGCTCTCGAAACCTTGGATTACTAAAGGAATAAGAACAGCTATTAAACACAAAAATCAACTATATGCTGACGAAAACAGTCTGAGTATAAAATATGCAGAAATCGAATACAAAGATTAATACGATTAAGTAAAGCTAACTATTATTGTGAATATTTTAACAAACATTTGACGAATATGAAAAAAACATGGGAAGGAATCAATACTATTATGAATCGTAAAACTCAGAAATCATCCTGCATTCAAGCTATCAAAGACCATAATAATGGTAATAGACTTATACGAAACGTAACCCATATCCCAGATATATTAAATAATCATTTTGCATCAGTTGGACATAAATTGGCTAACCAGTTACTAGACCCGCTAAAGCACTATTCCGACTTTCTTATAAAATCTAAATCTCCGCGAGATTCGTTTTGTTTTAATCTAATTACTCCTGTTGAAGTGAAACTTGAGATTTTAGCACTTCCAATCAACAAAGCACATGGTTTATATTCTTGTCCCTCTCAGATATTGAAATGTGCCAGCGATATTATTAGTTACGTATTGTGTAGATTATTTAATTTATCAATTGAGTTAGGAGTATATCCATCCAAATTAAAAATGTCAAAAATCATTCCAATATTTAAAAATGATGACAGGACTGATGCTAATAATTACCGGCCGATATCGTTATTATCTAATTTTAATAGACTTTTTGAAAAGATGATGTATAAAAGGATGCAGAGCTTTATTCAAAAACATGCTATCCTTTCTTCTTGTCAGTATGGTTATCGAGAATTGCATTCAACTGAACATGCAATTCTTGATATTGTTAATACCATTCAGTCAAATATGGCTAAGAAATTATTTTCGTGCGGAGTATTTATTGATTTAAAAAAAGCTTTTGATACCGTTGATCATGAAATTCTTTTACAAAAATTATGTTATTACGGATTTAGAGGAATAATTGATTGGTTTAGTTCATATTTAAATGGTAGAACGCAAACTACACAAATTGGTAATCACATATCCAAAAAGGCTACAATAACGTGTGGCGTGCCTCAAGGATCGGTTTTGGGTCCATTACTTTTCTTGCTTTATATTAATGATATTGAAAATTGCTCTAAGAAATTTAAATTTTATCTATTTGCTGATGATACAAATCTACTCTTTTCCGAAAAAGACCTTAAATCTCTTGAAAAACTTGTTAATGAAGAACTTTGCCATTTATATGACTGGCTTAGTTCAAATAAACTTAGTTTTAATTTAAAAAAGTCTAATTTTGTTATTTTTCATCCATATCAAAAGAAATTAGTATATCAGCCTATTATCAAAATGTATAATAACGAATTGAATGGATATACAGAGCTTAATTGTGAAGATTATATTAAATATCTAGGGGTTTTAATGGACAAGAATCTCTCATGGAAATATCATGTAGAACATGTTCTAAGTAAAATAAGTAAAACTGTAGGCATGATTTCAAAATTAAGGCACTTTGTACCTAAACATACTTTACTTAATATTTATAAATCGCTAATAGGTCCATATCTCTCCTATTGTCTTGTTATCTGGGGTCAGACAAGCAAGTCAAATTGGAGTAATATCTTAGTTTTGCAAAAACGTGTTCTTCGCTTCATCCATTTTTCAGATAAACGAGAACACGCAATACCTTGTTGCTACAAATATTTTACCAGTAAATATCTTATTCTACGAAAATGTACTTACATTGATGCATGATGTTAAAAATAGAGTTGCGCACCAGTCAATATTCTCAATCTTTTCCAGAAAACGTTAGATATTCATTCTTATAATACTCGTTCTTCAAAGTCAAATAATTTTTACATTAAACAATCGAAACTAGAAATTCAACGAAAGTCTTTTTCTCATGTTGGAGTAAAATGGTGGAATGAGGTACCATCTTGCATAAGAGAATTGCCAAAAAGAGCATTTAAGAAAAGGATACGTAGTATCCTTTTGGACATTTTACAGAATGAAAACACTTATCCGGACATAGAGTCGCTCAGCTGTAAAATTAAGAAAATATCACGCAATGAAGCCTCAAATTGAAGTGTTAACTCCCACTTTTTTCCCTGTTCTTAATTGATATACAGTATATTATTATTATTACTTTTTTTTTCCTTTCTAAAAACGTTAAGTTTATTAATATGTAATTTCATTGAAAATTATTTCATATTATGTATATATAATTTGATATATAATCAATGGCTTTGTAACTGTGTCACTATAGACAAGCCGCCTCGACTAGCTTTGTAGCTATTAGCGGCTTGTCTTATTAATGTATGTACGTATTATTATATGAATAAATTGAAAAAAAAAAGAAAAAAAAGCTTTATAAGTAAAAGATACACATCTGATTATGTCTAGGTGTTCTAGCGAGTGCCCTTGAGGTTCCTATTACAATTATATGTGCTAGTGATTATGATATGAACTGTCAATCAACCTAATTGATGTGTGTATATAGCTACTATATATGAGCATATATTACATCCCCCTTTTTCTAAATTAAAAGTAATTATTACCAAATTATATATAACGTAAAATGAATTATTTAAGAAATCAAGTCTATCTTTGGATTACGTGTTCGATTCAATATTTAAAGATGCTGTAAAGTCCGTTCTGCGCATATATTCCGCGCATCAACACATTCCATCAGTGGGGGAGCAACCTTTGGAATGTTGTTAATATTTCGCACCTTCCGAACTTTCTTGAATTGAATCTCTAGTCTGCATTCATTTACAAGCATAGCGAACCGGGAGAGTGTTAAAAATTCAGTATAATATATATCTAATCATATTTTACAACTGTAGCACTGAGTTCAAAATGTAAACAAAGCGTTTGTTTACATTACGGACTTTACATCACCTTTAAGTAAAGATATTCAAACAATATGGCAATCATGCTCCATATGTTCACGTCTTGTAGTTCGGATTCTGGTTTATCCGTCTGCCATAACGGCTTGTCTTCAGTTGAGGTGGGTTTGGCGCTATTGGGATTTGGATGTCGTTTCTTAATTTCTGCATTGGTTGTTGGATCGGATCTTGGGGATCGTCAATATCCGGTGTGTCTACAGGGGCGGATTTAGACCGTTGCAACTGTAGCATATGCTACGGTCAGATTTTCCATAGGCCAGTTCTAACATGGATCATAAAATCAATCTAAAATATAATTTAGCAATATTTTGTTTACTTTCCTTGTTTATATTTCAAGGTTTTATTTTATTTAGTTTTATATGTTTAAAACATTTTATTTTGACAAATTGATGACATTGATACGTAACGTTAATTGTTTTAAGAATTCCCGCCCGAAAATACGCTTGTAATTGCCCGTTTGCGGGTCATTACGCAATGGACTATAGCTTAGAAAATATCATCCTTCAAAAATACACCGTAGCGTGTTGCCCATATATGATCAATTTTCGCTACGGTCAGATTCATTAAGGTCGAATCTGACCGTAGCGAAAATTGGCATATACGGCATTCTGATTGGTTTGCTACGGTCAAACGTAGCAAACCAATCAGAATGGGGCAAATGCTATAGTTTGCTACGGTGGCATGAAATTGGCTACTGCTCCAGAACGATGGAATATCTGATATTTGTGTTTGGCTCATCAACAACATGCTATTGGGAACCCACAGTACGGTTGTGCGCATTTCGAAATGAAAGCCGTCGTAAAGCTAATGAATATATATCGTCGAGGTAGAAATAAAATCAGATAGTAAAACGAATCATTTCCAGTCAGGTAAGCCTTATGAATAATAAGAGATGCACATTTATATTTTAATTTGAGTTTTTACTGCATAGTGTTCGCTATTAACTTCGCTTTATTAAAGTGTTTGTGCGCGTATGTACAGTATACCTGCATGTATTGGAATTAATACGCGAATTATGATACGCGCGTATATATATCGTGTTTTATAGCGCCCTAATATTTGTTTGTAATGCGTATATATTCGTAAGATACGCGTATTCGTATGATACGCGCGTTCATATGATACGCGTATTCGTATGATACGCGCGTTCATATGATACGCGTATTCCTATGATACACGCGTTCGTAGATGATACGCGTATTTCGGTATTCAATTGATAATGATATGCGTATGATACGAGTATCATACCGGTATCGTATGTTAAGATATACGCGAGCGATACTTTACATTTTGAGATCTTTCCGGCTTATTTTTGCTTGAGAAATGAATACAATCAGGACAAATTTAATGGTCACATGCAGTGCTCAGAACGCAGGAAATGGCATTTCCGGGCTTCAAATTTCAAAAATTTTCCGGGGGGCCATGCCCCCGGACCCCCCTAGCTATGCGAGGTCTTTGAAAATGCTACGGTCAGATTTTTGGCTGGATCCGCCCCTGGTCTAGGTCAGCTTGATGTTCTCTAGTCTTTCGCAGATGTCTGCGATTCCGTCGATATTCCGTACCGTTCTCACTCTTTATTACGTAGCTTCGTGGTGCTTCCAGAGGTTACTATCTCACTGATATGCAAATCCCACTTCAGATTATTCTGGATCGTTAAACCTAATACTTTGTGGGATTCTATTCTTTCAAGACAAATGTTTTCAACAACTAAGGTGGGTGGTGGCTGCTCAATATCTCGTCGAAAGGAGACAATCATCTCTTTACACTTTTTTTTACTGATACTGAGATACTGATACTGAGATACTCATAAACATGTAATACAAAGCTATATACAAATGACGTCACATGCATATGCGCATGACGTTACATTATTAGACGTGTAATAACTGACCTCCCTATATCTGGACTGCTTGCTCAGCCTCAAAAAGCGTTGGTCACAAGGTGGCGCAAATATGAGGCTGGTTGCTTGAAAACAAATAGGCGAAAGGAGAATGAAATTTATATCACATATTGTTTTTTGACAAAATTTTGTTTTGACCGAAATTTTCAAACAGTTTTGCCAGAAAGTCTAAATTTGCACGGAAACTTATTTTTTGCCATGCACCCGCAGCAGAGCTGTTTTACTCGGTGTTTTTCACAAGCCAGCGTTGTTTCCCATTACTCCGATATTCGTCAGTTTCAATTTGCCATGCAAGCCTTCAGTCAAAAAGAATGTTAAACACTGGAAAAAAAATTGAAAATCCATAGACGGCCACAGGATGGAAATTGTATGGACCTTCATTGGAAATAGAATGGATTTTGATTATCCATAATAATTGTATATTTCCATACTAAGGTTATAGTAACTATAATAGTATTGAAATAGTATGGATATACTATGGATTTAGTGGTGCAATTGCAAATTTCATAGTATGGATTTCACATTTTTTCCCAGTGAAAGAACCCACCAATTAAGTTGATAATAAACTTGCTGAATAACTAAGCAATACAATGTTTATTTTTGTATTTATACCTGAGATTCCCCTTGAACCTGACCTGTATCCTTTGGATCATTGAAGCTAACATATCTCTTAATTTAGTTCTTGAGGTTTTGTTGCTTTGTTCCGTCATATTTTTCATTATGCTAAACGCGTGGTGTCCACCCACGCGTCGCAAACTATAGTTGGCCATTGAAATGAATATAACTGGACGCTACCTCCAACCGGAAATTTGAAGCAATCTCGAATTCTGAGTCTGCAATCCTCTGTGATTTGAAGCTCAACTTGAAGGTTGGTCCCAGTCTTTTCACGCATGCGACGAGCGTTCAACTGCTAATTATATTATATAAGCAACACGCGTGATCTGACCTCCAGACACGCGTGTCTGGAGGTCAGATTTGGCTTCAAGAAAAATATAGGCAGTTTATCTGAAGGTAGCGTTCCAATTATATTAGTGAGCTTAAGCTTCACGTTTCCGGGAACGGCAAACGGCAGGTTCGAACTTTCTTGGCAAAATTTTCGTTTCATATTTTCTTTCTTGCGTCGAAAGAATAATCAATGTATTTCAGTTTTAAAACAGCAAGTTTATTTACTCTTTATTGCCTGATACCGTAAAATCTTTCTTTGCCTTTCTTAAAGTCTCTAATTATTTCAATGATCACGGCAAATCTGCCGTAAAATACCGCAAAAAATCACATTTTGAATACGAGGTACAATATTTCGGCTTTTGACATTCTGGGTTAATTTCTGTTCAGTTACTGTTTAATTGTTCAGTATTCAAGTCACAAGAAATATATAGGGGATATTACACGGCGACGCGAAGATATGACTTTTTATCTTTGAGTGGCAGTCTATGTTCTTGAAATCCTATCTTTGGAAAATGCAGGGACAGCTTGGAGCACATGCATGTTTAGGATGTTTACTGTATTCTGTGACTATGTCTGTGCTGCACAATGTTGACTCATCTATATGTATAAATTTTTTTTTCTAACTTGATAATTTTCCAAACCATATTAACTTTGGAAAG